TGCTTCAGATGTTTCTTCTACTATGTAAGATGATGTGTTAAAAGACTGACTATGCCTCTAAGTATGTGTAATTCATATAGGTATATGTATACAGATATCTGTATTACTGAGCATTCGAATCTATCGATAACTTGAAAGTGTAACTTAATATTTAGAATCCTAAGATGAAATGAGAAAAATGGGATATGCTTATATGTATATAGTAACATCAAGTATTACATTCAATCTATTAGTTTAACATAGGTGGGACTTCATTAAGACCAAAAGATGGACCTTATTCATGACATCGTACATTTACTCAAAAAAGCACGAGTTTTAGATAGCATGAACATTGATAAAATTGAGAAATCATTTCAGAAGGGGACAAGTCTAATCTGAGGCTTTCATTTCCTTGGATGTTTTACTGAAAGATAAACATTTTCACCATAAATTTGTAGGGTAGGAGCGTTAGGAAAAGATAAACAATATTCTTGAGAACACTGTTTAGGATAAATTTAAGTCTTGTTGGAGAACAAGTTTTAAATTGTCCTATTACTGGTGTCCAATCTGGTAAAAATTGGAAAATATATTTAATACCGTAGAGATTGATTCTAGGTATTAAATGAGCTAACATTTGTTAAGGGCTTAAATTTATGGCTTTCTAGTAAGCACTATGGTACATTTTTTTAAATTGTCCTATTGCATGAAAAAAGTTCACTTTTAATGCTAATATTGATCAAATATTCCCATTTGATTGTTTTTGTGTGTTTTTTAACTATTCGCTTTGATTTTCTTTTATTGGAAAAAAGTCCATACCCTGTAGGTGTTTTGTGTAAGGTAAATTCCTTATGTACCTGATAGAAAAATTACTGATTTAGACTGAGAAAAGAATTCTCTATTAGGAGAAGAATTAATTTGTAAATAACTAGTTGTAGGAAACGGGGAGGCCTCACATTTTTTAAAAGGTATAGACAATGAAAATCTTACCATGGTAAAAGATAAAAAGAACATACTCAAATTTAACAGGTACTGAAACAGAACATTTGGATCCAAGCTGTCCTCTCATAAACAGTACCACCAATAGTTCATTCACTCACTTAGACATAAAACTATTAATATTTGGTGATTCCTTATACTCTAGGTCCAACTCATCCAGTACCATCAGCTCTTCCTCGTATGTATCCTGAGTTCAACCACTTCTCATCACCTCTGATGCCACCACCCTGTCCAAGACACCATCGTCTCTCACACAACAGTATCCTCACTATCTCATTGCTTCTACTTTTCCTTATACCTCTTCAAATCATTCTCTACCAACCAGAGTGATCATTCTTAAAAGTTCATTAGGCTACATCACTCCCTTATTTAAAATTCTCCAATAGCTTTCCTTAGAATAGAATAAAATCCAATTTCCTTACCATGGCCTTTAAAACTGCATAGTTGGGCTCCTGCCTAAATTTCCAACTTCACCTTCTCTTCTGTTTCTGTCATGTACCAAGCTTTTCTCATTCTGTAACAGAGACTTAATTGTCCCCCGAAATTTTTCATTTTTTTTCATGGGCACACGGCTGTCCATAATAAAAACTATATTATTCAGTCTTTCTATAGCCATATGGTAGTTCTAGTTCATGGGATATAAGCAGGTATGTCATGTGACACCCTTCCAGAACCATCCTTAAAAGACAGCTGTTGCATGCCTTCAGTCTTTTACTTCTTTCCTTTTATCCCGCACCCTGGAAGAGCTGCCAGTTTGGACCATGTGCAAGTTTCCCCATCCTAGGGATGGTGAAACCATAAGCTGGTGGAAACATGGGGCCTTAAGACCTTTGTGGAGCAATATACCAGCCCTGCACTCTTTACATTCAGATTTTGATGTAATTTTAAAAAAACTTACCTTGTTAAAGCTACTATTTAGGATCTCTTGTTCTCAGTTGGACTTATTCTTAACTGATACTCCTTCTCAGGACCTTTGAGGTTGCTGGGGATTTTTTCTGCCCAAGATATGCTTTTTGTATAGCTGTGTGACCGACATTCTCATTCTTCAGGTCTTAACTCAGATATCTCTAACACGCCTGGCCACCATATCTAAAGTAGCTCCTTTTTGCATTTATTCTTTCTTACGTGACCCTCTTTTCTTAATAGCATTTATAATTTATCATTATCTTTATTATGTAACCCTTCACCCTACTAAAAATGTAAGTTCCAAGAGAGCAGGGACTACATTTGTTTTGTTCACTGTGTTACTCCCACACATAGTACACATTAGGTAAGTACTGTTGAATGTATGAGACTGAATAAATGAACTATTGCATGAGTGAAATAGAGCCTTATCCAAATTAGGTAGTTATTTTCTTTTTTTTAAAGTAAATGTCTTGAAAGTTTTTCTTCAATACATAATGTATAAAATCCAGGCTAGGAAGCAGCTAGGAAAAATAGTGTTGAACTAATGGAATATGCCTAGCTTTCAGCCCTTGATAATGAAGATATGTATCTTTCTAGGAAACCTATAAGGTTATTACAGAAAAAATAAAAGTACTTGGTGAAGTGGAGTGGCAAATCAGAGAGCACTGCAATATACTATCTAGGGCAGAAATTCCCACTAAAGAGTAGTCTGGTTTATTATATAATTTGCTGGACATCAGATTTGTCATCTAAAATATATGTAAGAATCTTAAGCTTTGAATGGTAATATTATAATAAAAGTTTAATAGTAAGTCCGACGTATGAGTGACATAAGTGTTACACATTAATTTGGTCTTCAGGTTTTATTTTAAAAGTAATTGTCTTGATAGTATTGGTTCAGAAAGAAACAGGATTGCTTATACTACCGAGAGTATAACTTGGCACATTTTTAGAGTGCAGTTTGGCAATATGTATCAAAAGCCTTGAGATTGAGTATTTGACAGGCAATTCTTCTAGAAGTGTATCATAAAAATATGTGTAACAATTTTTTTTGCAAGAGTCTGCATTAGAATATCAGTTAGATAAATTAAGCTACATCCATACAACAGTGTTCAGCCTTTAAAAATTATATGGAGGAAATTTTGTCGACATATATATTAGATGTAAAGAAAGTTTTAAAATATAATTCCAATTTTGTAAAAATTTGTAAATTGACAAGTACTAACAGCGTATGTACAAGTGTTAATCCAACCTTGCAGAAATAACTATTGCAGTTGTTTTACTTCATTATTACCATTTCATAATTTTTAATTTCCACAGAATAAAAATTTTTATAATACTAATTAGAAGACTACCTTTAGCTTTAAAGAAAGAAGTGGATAATTTGGGGAAATAGTACCACATACGCAGTTGTTAAGCCTGATATGATTTATCTTTTCTTCTTCCTATACCCCACAACTAATTATCAGTTCTTGTATAGTTTACCTTCTCCAGTTTTTCAGCCATTCTTAATCAGTCACTCATAATCTCTCATCTGAACTTCTGAAAGATCGTTTAACTGGTCTTCATTAAGTTTAATCTCTTTCCCGTCTTGTAAACTATCACCAGATTCTACAGTAAACATCTTAGGAGACTCCATCAAATAAAATCTCTATAATGATGCCTCATTACCTGCAAGATAAAAGCACACACTCCTATTCATGAGGTATAAAAACCTTCTTGATATAAGACCTTCTTATGTTTGCAGCCTCAGGTACTAGTTGTGGTTATATCCCTATACTCCATGCTGCTTCATATTTCACGCCATTGCAGTTTTATTTGCTCTGCCTTTGAGTGACCTCCTGATCCCTCCAAACTGTCTTAACAAATTTATCTTTAGTCTCTTATGCTGATTTTAAAATATGTCCACAAATTCTTTGATATTTCATTCTTCGAGAGATGAAATTTAATTCACCCCCTTTAAAGATTGAACCTTGTGACTTTTCTTCTAATAAGCAAAATAAATTGGAAGTATATGTGACTCTCAGACTAGGTCATAAAAGGCATTTTGACTTCTCATGCATACTCTACTGAATCACTCTAAGGGAAGCCAGCTAT